CCGTGCCCTGGCTAAAATGCCGTTCTGTTGGTTTCTTTGAAACTCTCGGATCTTCGCCTTGCATAAATTGCGAATGCGGATGAAGCGACTCTCGTCTTCCGCCAGAACCGTCAATTTGTACCGAGCAAAGGACCGCGAACGTTCTTCTAAAAGATGACGGATAGCACGCGGTAAGAGGTGTCTGTTTGATGAAGATTTACGGACGCGGGGCATCAGTAGATGGTCCGCTGTGCGAATACACCGCTCTATTGTGCTACTCAAGATGTTTACTTCACTTATCTGATTGGTTTGTGGGGTATGGGCGTGGAGGAAATGCCCTAGGTTGTTGAAGTTTGTCCTTTTAAAAGAACGAACCTCCATAAGACGCGGTGTAACGGATCTGGGCCAGCGGTCACTATAGTTGCATTTTGACGCCTGTTTGTTCAACTGGAGAATGAACGCATGGCACGGAATGTTGGCAGCTCTGATCATTGAGTTGAATTTCGCCCTGAAAATCCACTGGGAGAATGTAGTCCAGTAATAGATGGCTTCTCCTCTTTACCTCAGCAGGTGACAAGTGGAGTTATACAAGGCTGCGTCCTTGATCCCCTACTATTTCTTATGTATATTAATGATATATGCAAATCCATCAAACATGGGACTCCACTTATTTGCTGATGACATCAAAATTGCATACTCCTTCCCCCCAAACAATCCAATACATGCCCTTGACAACATTCGAATTGATCTTTTAGCCCTAGATTACTGGTGCTCTGAATGGTTCATGAGCTTCTCTGCGAAAAGGAGCACAATTCTGTTCTATAGATGCCAAGTCCCTACTGGTATACTGACTATGAATAACGCCATCATTGCCCAAACCTCTTCTATTCGAGATTTGGGTTTAAACTATTCCTGTACCTTAAACATTTCGGAGCATTGTGCCCTTCAAATAGCAAAGACAAAGCGCACTATTCACCTCTTATTCAGTAACTTTAGCCTTCGGGAGAGTATTATTACCCTATATTAATCGCATGTAAGACCTTTATTAGAATATTCCTCAATTGTATATTCCAGCATGAGGAAACATGACCGGAAAGCCATTGAAAAAGCCAGCGTAAATTTACTAAACAAATTTTTGGTTGGTCAACAAACCTTGGCTATATGAAAAGATGCATTCTCCTCAGGCTGGATTCCCTCTGGCTGCGCCGGGTTAGACTAAATCTCACTATCTTACATCGTTTCATATACAAAAAGGCCCATTCCACGACTAAAATTGACTTTCTGGAAAACTCACAATACACATTACGTAACCATGCAAACATGCTCCCCACAACTCTCGACAGAACTGCAACACGAAAAAGATTTTTCCTTAGTACCTACTCCAGATTATGGAATAAACTACCAACGGAAGTGCGTAAGACTGTGAAACATGAAAGGTTCAAAAGACAACTTGCTATACACGTAACGATCGGCACAATTGCCGCAATGCACGGAAACATAAGTATTGATGCTGCATTCGAAATGGATTTTAACTATTGACCACCCGAAATCTGATTGAGCTTTAGAGCGGGGTCTGTGTAACTTGATCCATGAGGTACACATACCTAAGTTAATATAAAACATCCTACTCTAGATGTTATGCATCCGCTCACATTTCCACCAGACTAATTCGGAACAAACTTGTGGCACATCATAACTAGGTCCCAGCGTACACATCTTTAAGCAACGTCATGCCAGTACACGCATCTATCCCCAAAGCCAGATTTGTGGAACAAAATCTCTGCAGGTACAGGCTTGTAAAAGCAATGTGATCCATTTTTGCTTGATTCATCCCCCACTGATCTCTAATCGGTTTGACACAATAGGTTTAACCCTATGGCACATGCTCATCAGGAGCCGGTGCCCACTTTCTCAAACATTTTCATATCAGTAAACGCATCTGGAATCAAACCCTGAAATGTGTTCACGCAATGCTATCCGTCCTCGTCCGTGGCACACGCTAACCGGGTAGCTGTGTACACTTTCTTAACCCAATATTACCAGTACACTGAACCAGCGTCAAAGCAGGATCCGTGGAACACAATCCTGTGTGGTATATACTCTTATATACTCTTACATGTTTTGTGATTTAATATTCTGT